GATGATAAATTACGATTTTAGGAATTAACTTCGTATTAACGTTGGAAGATTGGATGTAATTTAAACTAAAACTTCCCCTTGTGTGAAATTGGCGATATATATAGGAAAAACATAACGCAATTTTTTTTTATAGGATAGGGTGACAAACAAGCATACAGTCCACCTGATGGTAAGTGGTTACTGTGACCCATAGACATCTACATCTATCCTCAATAAAGGCTCAAGATGCAGATGCGTTGTCACCCGTGAGGACTAAGATGGAATGCCTCTTTGCAGTAAAAAGGGTCTCCGGTTCTCTCACCATACGAGACACACAAGCGTTAAGCTGCTATTTTACGCTGGTTTTCTGTGAGAGCGTGGTCCTTCCCCGGTCGAGCCGACCCATTCGTGCTACAGCTATACTACTAATATAGCTGCAACATGGCTCTACCACGTAAAAATTATATATTTAAACAATCAAAGTAGGTACCATTGTTATTTATCCACTTTCGCCATTTTATAGGTAGTTCATAGATTTCTTTGCTGAAAAAATTGTGGGAGCGAGAATAAATAAAATCTTTGAAGGCAATTTTATCCTCATCGGAATTGATTTTTTTTCCTTGCAAGAAATTGTCCAAATTCCGGAAAAAGTGGCAATCCATTGGCGCAAGATCCAGAAGTATGGTGGGGAGACATACCAATAGCAGCTCCTCTAATTAAGCGACTGTTTGTTCTGCAATATGTGGTCTAGCGTTATCCTGAAGCAGCAGTGGCAAGTGAACAGTCTAGATTGTTTGACGGCTAGCTTTTCCATCATGGTTTGACAGTACAGATCTGTTGTAATCGTTTCGCCAGATCTTAAGAAGCTGTAGTGGATGATGAATTTTCCCGAGTCAACTTTCACTTGGGGTAGGATTTGGCCGATTCTACTGATACTAGAAATATTTACAGAACAGTAGAAATATTATAAAGTTTCCATTTGTCTCGTCATAGGTTTAAAAATATTGGCTATGAAAGTGAAAGTGGTTGGATATAAGAGTAGAGGGCGGCCTAAGAAAAGATGGATGGTGGTCTGTATTTCGGGACCATGTAAGGTACGTAAGGGTAATTAAGGTCACCTTTTTTTATAGGGTAAGGTGACAAACGAGCACACAATCCACCTGATGGTAAGTGGTTGCTGTGACCCATAGACATTTACATTTATCCTCAATAAAGAATCAAAATGCAGATGCGTCGTCACCCGTGAGTACTAAGATGGAATGCCACTTTTCCAGTAAAATAGGTCTCCGGTTCACACTCACTCACTTCACACACTACACTCACCATACGAAACACAGCAGTGTCAAGCTGCCATTTTATGCTGGTATTCTGTGAGGGCGTGGTCCTTCCCCGGTCGAGCCGACCCATTCGTGTTACAACTGTACTACTAATATAGCTGCAGCATGGCTCTACTACGTATAGAACCTTAGTCTTAAGCTTCGCCGCCCTATAAAACCAATACTAGGAGGAGGCCAAAGACAAAAACATAAAATCGTATACCATAACTAATATATTTATAGAAAATAGCAAACAAACGTTGGCAATAATTAGGGACATTTCGAAAAATCCACTTAAAAGCTCTAACTACTACACAATACTAAAATCTACTAAAATATTTACTATAATGTCAACTGTGAAAATGGCGTCGGTACAGCAGCGCCCTTTTGACCCTTTATTATTTAATTGAATAATGAAGAGCTATCGCATCACAGAGCCATTTATGCAAACAAGGCTTTAATTTTTGAGTTATAAAAAAGTGACCATATTAACCGGATGACCATATTACCCTCACGTACTATATATACGTAAGAAAGGAGTGAGCAAAGAGATGACAGTTGTTATCACGTTTTTATTAAGTCTCTTTCTTGTTTATCTGTCGTTCCGGGTGGAATTTAGTAATTAATTTTAAACTAACATCCCGATGAGCTGGTAACTTGAAATTTTGAATATACCTCAAAAGCGGATGACAAAACGTGGTAATTTTTACGTGGTAGAGCCATGATGCAGCTATATTAGTAGTATAGTTGTATACATATATATATGTGTTTCGTATGGTGAGTGTAGAGAACCGGAGACCCTTTTTACTGGAAATGAGGCATTCCATCTTAGTCCTCACGGGTGACAACGCATCTGCATTTTGATTCGTAATTGAGGATAGATGTAGATGTCTATGGGCCGCAGCAACCACTTACTTACAGGTGGACTGTGTGCTCATTTGTCACCCTTATGCTATAAAAAAAAATTAAGAAATTTCACTTGTTTGTAACACGCCTTTATGACCTGTATCTATGTATTAGATTTCACCTACTTTCGGATGTCTGAATGATCTGCAATTTTGCAAACGTATTATGAACCGATGACAATAGAATAATTTCATGACTGTGACCTAGTTTTCTCACTAGAACCATCGCAGCTCATGATCAATGTGTGTTTATATTTTTTTAAACTCAAATTTTAATTATTGGTACGTTGATATTTTGATAGAATGTTTACTTGTTTTTTAATCTAATAAGAAGTAATCGCTTACTAGCATTTTCTCCTGTATCATGGAGGTATAGAGGATATAGGCATAAATGTCACATGATCAAACGTCCACACCTGAAACAATACATACACTCGTTTCGTATGGGATTCGAATCCGCGGGCCCGCACCGCCGCAACGAAACACTGCTACTGTGCTACCGTGCTGTCGATATACAGTGTTAATTCTACAAAGCGAACTCGACTGAAGGCACTAAGTATTTTAATTTGTCAATGAGAGTTTTCGTTTAATGGACAGTAGACTAAAACAACATAATGTTTCAAGTGTAAATAAAGTATTTTCAGTTTAAAGTATACTGGCGGCATAGGAATATCCACTATTCCATTCAGCGACAGATGAATATAAATCAGGAGATGGATATGAATAAACAGCGTCTACACGCCCTTAGCTGCCCTGACAAAGGTCGACCATACAGGGGCCCATACAGCTGTAGATTCGACGGACAACTAAGGGTGGGGCCCAACGGCCTATGGAGACTTTTTATACTACACAATATATATAAGGCTAGGTAATTAATAAGAACGTACCTGGTTCCGAAGCTAAGACTGACCCCAAGGCTCGGTCAGGCGGTAGGTAGGTGCATGTAAGTAGTGTGTTAGAAGGTGTGTATGTGTGACCTGACCTAACTGAGGTGATCGGGCAACTGCCTGGTGCGATGCTGCCCCACGATGTGGTATCTCTCCATCGGACGTCACCAATTGACAATGGTAGCTTTCACTTCACTATTTCAGTCTATCAACTTTATTGTACATATAATTAACTTCAAAGTCAACCAATTCAACGTTCATCATGAAAATTCATTTAAAATTGTATAATCAAAATTATTGTTAAGTGAAATTATGTTTAAAAAAAAAGTCCCGCTGGGTTTCTTGCTGGTTCTTCCCAGGACAGAGGTATTTTCCGAACCAGTGGTAAATAAAATAATGACTTTCAATAAGTATTATGTAATAATCCATATTGAATAAAAATCATTCTATTCTATTCTATTCTATTCATCGAAATCAAACACGTGACACACGGTACAACTAATGAACGGGCGATCAAAGTTCAATATTCAATGTCCCGGGTTCACTAGCACGATATCGAAAGCCACAAAGCAAATCTTCGAATCAAATCTTAAGTCAATAATTCAAACTCAATACAAGCCGTCCGTCGCGCAACACTCAAATAGACACTCGCTTCGAGACGGGATTAAAGATACCCAAATCTTCGATAGTAATTAGGCGCGCATCATACTCAAATTCGGACGTTGATCGGAATCAATGTTAACTTACAAAACAATTAACCGACCGCGCAGTAAATCTATTTTCCTAGACTCAAAACTCCTCGTCTTTGCATAAATTTGCTAACAAAACCGGCACTATATAGAGGTTATACGGTACACGCTGACGCCGTTCTAGTGACTGCGCTGCATTAACACTTCTGACGCGCCCTGCTCACAACAAACCCGATCTCGCGCGAATGTCAACCGGTAGGAAATCACCGCGCTGAGCGCCCCCTGGCGTCAAATCTTGGAATTAGCGTTTGGCGCGAACAAACTCCTGTCCCGAACATAAGGACTTATGTCCGCGAGCAAACCGGCAAGCAGGACAGGGTCGCGACGGCACGTTGCAAGACCGAATCTACAACCAAAACCTAGGCCACCTTAGGCACCCCATCAGATCTTGCAACCTTAACCACCGCCTCAAAAATACCGCCCCAATGTGGGCAAGACGGAGGGTTGAACCTCCACTGGATGCCCTTCCTGGGCATCGCCGCACCTAAATAAATCCTTTTAGACATGTAGTCCTATGCTTAGATTTCAACCAAGTTTCAAAAGTAACAATACTCAAACCACTGAATTAATTCAAACAAATTAATTTACCGATGCGCATAGATCAAACAGACGAATTAAGCAAAACGATAAACATAAGAGACATTTGAAAACAAAATTTTCTTTTCAAAATAAATATCTTCGACATTGCCAACAAAATGTGAAAACAAAGAGAGGATTGATTTTTATTTCCTACGGCTCAAACAGTGTTACTCAATTTCAATTTTCTTTTCAACCAAGCAAACATAATGATCAAATATATTTACAAAAATATATGTACAAGTGTTCAAAGAGCAATTAAATTCGCCTTTTTACTCACAACCGCTACAACTATGAAACATTTCGCGGAAATCCCAAAGGATTCTTATTTTTAATTTAAAGCATTATTAATTAAGTGCTCGACCAAAACCAAATCTAATACTCTTTGACAGCGTGATTCAACGCTCCAGGGGAGCCCTAGTCTTCCCACCTAGCCTTCACTGAGATCGTCGGCAATAGAACAGTTTGACAAATGGACTGTTGACAGCTCAAAGGCTCAGTGGAGGCGGCCGTGGTGGGAGCTAGAGCGGCAGCTAGCTAGGGCTGCCTCCATCAAAGGGGGAACGGCGATACCCCAGCCGCGACCACTCAGATAACGGGAGTGAGAAGGGTCCAGCTGACTGCTGAGTGGCCGACACCCCCGCCCCTGGGGGAACGACCCCCCGACTGGTTGGGGGAGGGACCCCTTTCAAACCTAGGGGCTCGGAAGCTGGCAGGCGAGCGCCGAGCGGTGCCCGACAGTGGGCGTGGCTGAGCGCCCCCGTCCGTGGGGGTCCAGGGCCCGGCAGAGCCCCGAGAGGAGACGCCGTTCGCACCCAGGCACAAAACTGCATGGTGATTGCCCTGGCAATGCGGACAGGGCCGCTGGTGCGGGCAGTCTCGCTGGAGGTACCTTTCTAAACACGAGTAGCACCAGCGGCGCTCCTTGGCGATAGTTCGCCTAGCCGGAACCGGCTTACCTAATAACGTTGGGAACGACGTCACCCGGTGATCGGATGCTTGGCAATAGGAACAGGGGGGAGCCTCCCTGACCACTAGGCCACTGTAAGATGGTAGGAAGCGGCGCCCTCTCGCGGGAGCTCCGATCGGCTTTAGGGGGGTTGACGACGACTTGCCCGGCGGATCCCGCCTCTCACTGTGCACGGCTCGTAAGTAGTCAACGGTGCCCGCCGCGTTCTCAATCTGCCGGCACTGCTCCTCCAAGAACCGCAGCAGATCACTAAAGGACGAAATAAAGGAGGCGCCGTCCCCGCCATACCTCACCTCAAAATGTATCCTTAGGTCGAGAGGCAGGCGGGACAGCACGATGTGGAGCAACAAAAAGGACCATTCGTCCACCGGTAAATCCAGCCGCCTCAACGCATTACAGGCCACCAAGACTGGATTCACGAGGTCCGAACGTAGTCTGGCCCGGTCCCTAAGCAGCGGGAGGCTTAGAAGCTGCCTTACGTATTCGTCCGCAATTCGCCGGACGTTGGCGTATCTTCCGGCGAGGAGGTCCCGGGCAGTCTGATAGGCGTCGTCCGACAATCTCAAATGGCCGACGACGCCCAGGGCCTCCCCCTCCAGTGAGGCTAGAAGGTACGCCATCTTCTGGCTTGGTGTCAAGTCCCTCTTGGTGTCCACTAGGCTATCAAAAAGCCCTACAAAAGTCATCAAGTCGGAGAGGACCTCGGAGAACGGCGGCAGGTCCAGAGTTGGGAATCGTCCCAACAGCTCCTGCTGAGTAGGCCGCTTCCGAGGGGACTCGGGTAGGCCACTCATCAGAGCCTCACGCGCTTCCTTAACATACTTGGCCCCGGCCTCGATCAAGTCGTCCGTGAGCGAAAAGAACTGCTCGTAGTCCGCGCGGCAGGAGTCCAGGACTCCCTTTTCCGCATCCGAAGCCTCGAGCTCAGCGTAAGCCTTCTCCACTACGGCCCCCCGGGCCGCGACCTGCTCGAGCCGCTTCTCCAAACTATAGACCCTATCCGGTCGCCCTATCAAAGCATGGGCGCTAGCGGCCCAGCGCAGCTCCGCCTTCAGGCGACGAATCGGTAGCTTGTGCGATGTCATCACTACTAAATACAAATTACTACGCGGCACAAATACAAATCAAATTAAAAAATAACAAATACAATTACTATCAAATCAAGTTAAATACAAATTACACAAATACAAATTACTATTTATTAAATTAAATACAAATTACACTACAAATAAAGGTACACACTACAGTCGATCAGCAAAGATGCCTCGCTCAGACAACCGACCCTTCGACAATTAATCTACTATAATTATACGACAACGACAATTATCCGATTACGTGATAACAATTATCTACCTACCCAAAATACCTGACGCGTACCTAGCTCTAACAAACTCCTGCTTGCTATACTGATACATCTTAGTGCTACTATGGTTGTAGCCAGCGTAGCGTGTTCTAATATAGACGTGGGCGAAGTCGCATCAACGAGGCCCCCTTTCTTTCGTTTCTAAAATCTACGCAATAGATGTATCCTACTAAACATGCTTTGACACGACACACCTACTCATAGCTATTAATTCCTGACAAGTCTTGTATTCGGTCATTCTAACGGTCACGGTCTTTGAAGATAGTTACAACGGCCTCGCAGTTGCACTTAAGAGGGGCTTCTTGCGAGGACCCAAACACCACAGATGACGAATTAATTTGATCAAGTGATTCAATTAATTAGTCATCTGTGGTAAAGTTTGAGGGCCCTTTAAGTGCGAGCCCGTGAGCGAGGGCCGAGGGCTTCGCTAACGCCTAGCTACGTCGCTGGTTGTAGCACGAATACGGAATCATTTGAGATAATTACTTTACCAATATCCGTGGAGTAATCTTTCTGTTTGATTTAACTATGGAATCACTTGTGATGATCGATCTCCATTTTGTTTTAATTATTTTTTCTTTTTAATTTAGCTACGGAATAATTTAAGATATTTTTTTTTATTTAGCTATGTAATCATATTATATTAAATTTAATCGTTCTTTATTGCTGTAAATATCCATTGTCGATAACACAAGTATACTGGTCAACAATATCTATAAATAACCATTGGAAATACCAATATTGCATTATTCTGTCTGACACAAGCCAGTAAAATACATGATTAATGAGCTCGTGGTAACCCAAACGTAACGATATGAGATGGTTACTTTGCTATATGCTATAAATGAAATATGCTATAAACTGTAAATTGATCTGAAATGTGCCTATGGGACAATATGATCCATGAATTCTCCAGCGCTAAACCTACAAAATTTAAAATTGAAAAAGGCCTTTATAGGAATATTCCAGAAAGTTCCTCGTGGCCCCCGATAGATGGCGATTACTATCTTTTTACGCCAGAAACCTGAGACCCTTATTACATGTAATGAGGCTTTCCAACTTAGTTTCCAAAGGTGACAATGCATCTTCATTTTAATTCTTAATTGAAGATAAATGTAGATGTCTATGGGCCACAGCGTCCACTTACCATTGGATGGACTGTGTGATCGTTTGTCACTCATATTCTACAAAAAAAAGTAATTTTTTTAAGTTTTACTTTTTCTGTATTAACAAATTAACTTTGTTCATCGTCTTTTAAAACTACTACCATTATAATCAAATACTAATTTAATGCACATTGTGTGCAATATGCATCCTTGTAAAAGGCCAAATCGGTTATCAACATAACGGAAAGAGTGACTTCATAATCAACTTCCGCCATTTTTAATGAATGATGAATGTGATTAATGTTGAATCAAAATGGTTGACAACTGGATTGCCAACTGACTCACAAAGGTAATGCTCTGATGAACAATTTGATATAGTATGTAAAATGATGTCAGTGTCACATCATTTTACATACTATATATTTTATACGTGGTAGAGCCATGCTGCAGCTATATTAGTAGTATAGTTGAAGCATGAATGCTCGACCGGGGAAGGACCACGCTCTCACAAAATACTAGCGTAAAATGGCAGCTTGACACTGCTGTGTTTCTTATGGTGAGTGTAGAGAACCGGAGACCCATTTCCAGTAAATAGGTCTCCGGTTCTCTACGTGTTAATAGTTAAAAAGTTAATATCAAATTACTATTTTTTATCTACGTGTTACAGCCATGCTGCTGTTATATTGTGGTTGCAGCACGAATGGGTCGGCTCGGCCGGGGTAGGACCACGCTTTCACAGAATACCAGCGTAAAATAGCAGCTTAACACTGCTGTGTTTCTTATGCTGAGTGTAGAGAACCGGAGACCCTTTTTATTGGAAAAGAGGCATTCCATCTTAGTTCTTTCAGGTGACGATGCATCTGCATTTTGATTCTTCATTGAGGATAAATGTAGATGTCTATGGGTCACAGCAACCACTTACCATCAGGTGGACTGTGTGCTCGTTTGTTACCCTATCCTATAAAAAAAAACATATATTTTTATAAACAATAAAATTGTCCTCCAGATTGAATTTCGGTTACGACGGCCAGTCTCATCTGAGACTACAGCGTGATCGCGGAGCAGGAAGAATTTCAAATTATTTCAATTCATACAAATGTGAACTTTAAAAACTTTGGAATAAACTCGGTTTTCGAATCACAAATACTGTTGAAAAGGTCCTAAAACTATCTTAGTTTCAATAGAAATAAAACTTTTTATGATGGGAATTAAGTTTAAAAATGCAAAACAAAAAAAAGTCCTGCTCTGCGACCGTCATTGCGCAGGACGTGATTATAGTGCACGACAGTGCTCAAACTCAGGTGCACACTATTCCTTCACTCTCGTAGTCCCGTCAGTCCGATACGACTGGAGAATGATCAGGCGTAGATACCATGACTTCACGTGCTGTTACTCAGATTTTCTTGACAGGAATCCCGTGATTCGAACCCCGAACCTGATCAGCAGTTACGCTTACGATCTCTAGACTAACGAGGCAGTATAATTACAACTTATAAGAAACTATATTAGTCAGTACAAGTACAGTTTGTGAGGATTAATGCTACTAATATACTGTAGTATAGTTGTAGCACGAATGGGTCGGCTCGACCGAGGAAGGACCACGCTCTCGCAGAATACCAGCGTAAAATAGCAGCTTAAGACTTGTTTCGTATGGTGAGTGTAGAGAACCGGAGACCCTTTTTACTGGAAAAGAGGCGTTCCATCTTAGTCCTCAGGTGACAACGCATCTGCATTTCGATTCTTTATTGAGGACAGATGTAAATGTCTGTGGGTCACAGCAACCACTTATCATCAGGTGGTCTGTATGCTCGTTTGTAATCCTATTCGATAAAAAAAATAACGTAGATAACAATATAAAAGGAATGCATGACCCCTGAAGCTGAACTCTATGTTGCCTCGATAGAATATTGGGTTTTCCTCTACAATTATTGTACGAGTAGTTTAAATTTTAACCACGTTTATGCGTTATTTTATACCGTTTGTTTTTTACCTTGTATTATCTGAACTTAATACGTACCCACATACAATATCGCATTTGTTATACCAAACAAATGCGATCTTGTAAGCCAATTCGTCAAAAAAAAAACGACGATATTTTTTTATACTGCTATATAAAAAAATATCGTCGTTCCTTGATATTTTTTTATATAGCAGTAACAGTGACAAAAATTTAATCTTTTATTAAGTTTAAAAGCCAACTTCAAAGAATTAATGAAATAAATAATTACCACATAACATAATAGCATCGGAAGACGTTACTAAGACATGGCGTATCCTGAGTATAATATCGAAGAATTAAAGGCCCTGACTTCAGAAGCTATTGTGTCCAGAGTGTCTAGACTTCCGATTTATAAAAAGTACTCTGTGGTGTTGACTAAGCAACATCACAAGCCAAAGTAACATCTAGAATAATTAATGGAATCAGGCGCTATTTTGCCTAATTCCATTATATTAAAATTAAATTTTATTTTAATTAAAATTTAATTTAAAAAAAATAATTTTTAAAATCTTTAGCAAAGCTAGAATGTTGTCTTAACACTTACATTAAAACTTCATTACTAATATTTCCACCATGAGCGGTGGAATTTCCTCCCCCATTCTCCTTGCTGATGGTGATACGTCGTGAGGTTTTAGACTCTGCCCCCCCTCCCCTCTCCCTCCCAGAATTAGGTACATGTATTTCGTATAATTGTAAAATTAGTTTTAAAAACTGTTTTATTAAAAAAATCATAGAATTAAATTCTGAAAATCCATAAATATTAATAAAATTGAGGCTTTAGTTGGTAATGGTAAAATATTTAACATGTCGCACATTACGTTAAATATTTTCGTCGCACAAAAAATATAGGTGATTGTCGCATTAGCCCATCCCCCGGTTTACTACGTTTTTTTTTTATAAATTATTTGTGTGAATAAACAAATTAAACTCAGTTATCAATGATTTTAATTTTTTTGCTCACACAAACATTTCATAATAGTTACCTAGACCAGAAACAAGTTCCAAAGAAAACCGGTTGTAAACAACATCGCGTCCGATTGTCTTGGTGGCCAGAGTACGTTGCTACTAAGCCACGTGCCTGGGTTCCAGTCACACACAAGTCGAAGCTTCGAATCTGCATTGTTGTGTAACGATGGTGGGAATCAATCCGCAACTGCGTAATAAATAGAATTAGACTATAATCATGTTTTTTTTTTTCGTAAAAAAACATTACCCCTTACTAGAATTTTCTCCTTGTTTCTCCTATATCGTGGAGGCAGTTTACAAACATAAATTGCACAAGGGCAAACATCCATACTCGGAACAATTATTTGCAGGCCATACAAATATTTATTCCGTGCGGTATACGAACCCGCGACCCTCAGCGCAACAAGTCATTGCTAAGCCACTGCGCCACGGAGCCGTCATAGAATATAGATTACAAAAATACATATTGGCAGTCATTTACTTTATTACTGCTCCTGAAAAAAAACCTCTGTTCTGGGAAGAACCAGCAAAAAAACCCAACCGGACTATTTTTTAAATAATTATTTACTTTATAATATTTTATACAATTAAGTTTGAAAACAGAAACGAACATGGTAGCAATCACCTCGAATTTGCATTGTTGTATAATGT